TTTTTTAAGAGAGAGTCTCACTTTGTTGCCCTTGGTCGAGTGCTGTGCCATCACAGCACACAGCAACCTCAAACTCTTGGGCTTAAGCGATTCTCTTGTCTCAGTCTCCCAAGGTTTATTCAATTTTAAAAGACAGGGTCTCACTATGTTGCCCAGGCTGGACTCAAACTCCTGGGCTCAAGCAATCCTCCCATCTCACTTGCCTGAATAGCCAGGACTAGAGGATCCATTAATGCATTAATGCACCCAGTTTCTTTCCTCATAATACATAACTAAGATTAGACCTAGATAGAAAAAAAAACTTTAGGCCAGGTACAGTGGCTCATGCCTATAACCCTAGCACTCAGGAAAGCCAAGGCCAAAAGAATGCTTAAGGCCAGGAGACCAGCCTGAGCACGAGTGAGTCCCCATCTGTAACAAAAATAGAAAAAATTAGCCTGGCATAGTAGCACATGCCTATAGTCCCAGCTACTCAGGAGGCTGAGGCAGTAAGATCACTTGACCTTAGGAGTTTAAAGTCGTGATAATGCCACTTATGACAGGAGGAAGAAAGAAGGAAGGAGGGAGGGAGGGAATGAGAAAAGGAGGGAAGGAAGAAAACTTTTGATAGTAGAGGTAGGTGGCATAAAAAAATTGAGAAAACAGAACCTTCTTGCAGGTACAGTTGAGAGGAAAAACAAACACTAGGAGAGAGATGAAGACCTAGAGAAAAAAGGGTGTGGTAGGGTTCTCTGATGGTGAACCACACATTCCAAAATATTTCTATGACCAAATCTGCCCAGGAGAAAGAAACTACTACCATGACCTCTGACTTTCTAGGACCTGATATTCAGGCTTAGATTCTTAGTCAAATGGGCTTTTGTGGGTAAGTTTAGGAATCTGACTTATTTCAACAATTCTCTTTAACATTTTATATTCTTAAAAAAAAAAAAAAAAGGAATTCTGGGAAGATGGCTGACTGGTAGCAACCCTGGTCAGAGGCTCCTGAGCAAAGGAAGAAAAACTGGTTGGAATCAGAATCTATGAAGCCAAAGATGGGGAGCTGAGCCCAGAAAGAAGTTCGGCAAGCTGTAAATCCAAGGAAGAGCATTTAAGAACACAAAATACAGGTCATGGAAGAAGTCCAAGTGCCCATCGATCCACGAATGGATCAACAAACTGTGGTATATGTACAACATGGAATACTATGCAGCCATAAAGAAAGATGGAGACGACTCCGCGCCTGTGGCTCAAGTGGCTAAGGCGCCAGTCACATACACCTAAGGTGGCGGGTTTGAATCCAGCCTGGGCCTGCCAAACAACAATGATGGCTGCAACCAAAAAATAGCCAGGCGTTGTGGTGGGTGCCTGTGATCCCAGCTACTTGGGAGGCTGAGGCAAGAGACTCGCTTGAGCCCAGGAGTTGGAGGTT